AAAAAAAAAAAAAACAAAAAAACTTACATGAGACACTTCAGAACTGCTTACAACATAAATACTTAAGACGAACAATCGATCACATCAAGGAATAGTCTCCTACTGTCATATTCTGCAATTTGAAGCTGGAGAGAGAGAGAGAGAGAGAGAGAGGTTTAAACTTAAAATCGAAGAGAGAGAAGTTAAAACTTACTGGTTACATAAGATCTCAGGTACTTCCATTGATAGCAATGAAAAATGATATTGCTTTTTTTTAAACCGTGTTCGTTTATTGGACAAATTGCAGGTCGAGTATACAAGCGTTAAAGCAGTAAACCAAGTTCTTACTATTAAGCCGCATGTGAGAGGAAATTAAGATGGAAGCCCAAGTTGCTTTACTTACTGCAATATACAAACTGGTTGAAATCAAGAGTCACCCTGCCTTGTCTGCTCGTATCAAATGAATTAAACAGGTTCCTAAGAAAGAGATCACAATGCAATTGTTCTATCAGAGTAAAAAGCCGAGCATCATCAACCAAAAAAAAAAAAGGAAGAAAGAAAGACGTTGAATTTATGAATTACTACAAATGGCGTCAGCTAGATTGTTACCAACTAAAAACGTGCAATATGAGCAACAATATCAAGCTTACAAATAATACGGACCTTGCAGACTGCACAAATATACAAAGAGATATGAAATCGTCAAGTTTGAGTTTGCCATTCCCTGATTGATCAAATTTCTACATGATTATCAAGACGGAACAGTCAGTTTCAACAGGCCAGTTCTAGGCCATGAAGATTGTAGTATATACTTCCCATTCATATACAGTATACCTCACAAGCAGTATAAAAAGCTGGAGAGTCAAGAGAGAACCCAATATTCACCAATGCCTATCTCCATCAAAGAATAAAATTTGATAAAGAATGAGGAGGAAAATATCATACACGTATATTAGTGGGAAGCCTTCAAATTTCTAATAATGTTTGCATGCTCAAAACTAGGAGTACATTAAAACTAATTCAGAGCTTATACCTCGTATGCTTCATCTAGAACAAGAAACCTCCGTCCCCTATTCCAAAATAAAAGTAAAATTATAACAATTGTGATAGCCCTATACAGATAAACTGTACAAGCAGAACATTTTCAGTTTTGTTATTACAGATATAAATACTATCATCTCTTTATACACAATGAAGAATTTTTAGATACTATAGATAGTTTATATTAGCTAAACAAGTCTAACAGTAGCCTCTATTCAGGTACGGCCTGATAAAAACTGAGAATAGTAGAGAAAACATAGAATTTGGAAATAGAAGATTTTCTGTGTATTGTAATATATTAACTTCTCCGTACAATTGTTCCTTTTATTCTAGTTTACAAGCATGAGTTTAGGAAAGGATTACACAGACATGTGTAATAATCAGACAACCACATAAATAATCAGACATGTGATGAGCATGGTATCAGAGCATGTACCACAACAAAACCAACACAAACACTACCAACCAGTCACGATTAGCGTCAAGCTAGATGATACAAATTATTCAGTTTGGGCCCGAATGATGAGGATGGCAATAGGGGGCAGGGGTTGCCTCAGCCATATCACCGGCAACCCTGCCCCTCCACAAGCAGTTGACCCACAGTATCCGATATGGGAACAGGAGGACCTCAATGTCCAGAGCGACATCATCCATAACATCGACCCCGAATTGGTGCCGATGTACATAGAGTACCCAACGGCCCAGGAGTTATGGGAGGGGCTGGCCGCGACTTACAGCAGCGGGAGAGACTACCTGCAAATTTTCGACCTCAAAAATCAAGCCAACAGCCACAAACAAGGAACAGGAACAATCGAAACCTACTACAACGTTTTATAGAGAATATGGCGAGAGATTGATCGGAGGGAACCGAATCCAATGGTCTGCCCCCCCGATATTGCTACGTTTAACAGGTTGAAACAAGAAGATAGGTTGTTCCAATTTCTGACTGGAATCAACGATACTTTCGACTCAGACAGAAAGGAAATTCTTAGAGCTTCGCCATTACCAACTGTCGAGGCAGCCTACGCCACCATCCGGAGGGAGGCGGCGCGGCGGAAAATCATGGGGGGACTGCCGGATATTGTCGCTGCCCCAAACCCTAGTGCCCAAATTGAGATCGGGTCGGGTCTGGTGGCAAAATTCCGGTCGGAGAAGCAGAAGGCGGTCTCATCATCCCGGTCGGACAACTCCGATCAGAAGCGGGCCAGCAACCCAGCCCCATCACGCCGGAGTGAGGAGGTAGATAAATCAAAACTCCGATGTACCCATTGCGGGGGAAGCAGACATACTCGCGATGGATGTTTCAAAATCATCGGGTACCCAGAATGGTGGGCGGGAAACAAGAAGAAGGGGACTGGAGCGGTGGCGGCGGGCGGCCCGGAGGCCACCAACGCCGGAGAAGATGAAGGTATTGGAGTAGCAGGGGTACTGCGGGGAGGAGACAGCGGCGGGGCGAAACAACAACCGAGGGAAGGTACCAAAAGAGTAGGGTTTAATAATCCGAAATTGCCCTCAGGTCCTCCATTTTGTAACCCTCGCTATTTTTCCCCAAATTGTTTTACTATTTACCCTTGTGACCCTGATGATACTAATGGTTCTGATTTGGCTCTTAAGATTTCTAATACATGCAACCAGCCCCCTGGAGTTGCAAATTTGGCCCACTTTGAGTCCAAGGATCCATATTGGCTGTTGGATAGTGGTGCTAGTGACTCCATGACGTATGATGAACGGGATTTTGTGTCTCGGACAACCCCTCACCGTAAATTTGTGTGCAATGCGAGTGGTGGGGTTTCTCCGGTAGAAGGGGCCGGAGAAATTGCACTATCAGATTCTCTAAAACTGACGAAATGTTTATATATTCCAAGTCTCTCGTTCAAACTGTTATCAATCAGTCATGTGACTGAGGAACTTGACTGTGTTGTACTCATGGCTGCCACTTTCTGTTTATTGCAGGATATCCGGACGGGGAATATAATTGGCCGTGGAGTTGAGCGTGACGGACTGTACTATATCAGTGAGGTGGCATCTGGGGTAGTGGCAGCAGTCAAAGGGAACACAGATAGGAAGGCGTGGTTGTGGCATCGCCGATTGGGTCATCCGTCGGATGGGTATCTGAAACATTTGTTTCCTCAGTTTTTTTCCAGTAATAATACTTTATCCTGTGAGACTTGCATGCTAGCAAAAAGTCATAGGAAACCTTTTTTCCCGAATAATACTCGTGTCGAGTTACCTTTTGAATTGATTCATTCTGATGTGTGGGGGCCTGCCCCGATTACTGCCCATAATACTTTCCGTTATTTTGTACTCTTTATTGATGATCATACCAGAATGACATGGATTTTTTTTGCTTAAGAACAAAAGTGACGTTGCCCAAAAATTTGTTGAGTTTTATACTATGATTCAGACTCAGTTTAATACCACTATTAAGATTCTTAGGTCTGATAATGGGGGGGAATATGTTAACTCTGTGCTAAGCTCATTTTTTCGGGAAAAAGGGTTAGTTCATCAGACTTCTTGTCCAAATACTCCTCAGCAGAACGGAGTGGCCGAACGGAAAAATCGGTCACTCCTCGAAATTACTCGGTCCTTGTTAATTGAGTCGTCCTCTCCTTCGTACCTTTGGCCTGAAGCAGTTGCCTCCGCCACCTACTTAAGCAACCGATTGCCAACCAAAACTCTCGACTTTCAAAGCCCCTTGGATATGTTTTCCACTTACTATCCGCAGTCCAGAGTTTCCCTCGAGCCTCGTGTTTTTGGTTGTTCTGTTTTTGTCCACATTCCTCGTTCCAACCATACCAAGTTAGATCCTTGTTCCATCAAATGTGTGTTTGTGGGATACGGCAACACTCAGAAGGGATACCGGTGCTATGATCCTTCCACTCGTCGCATTCATACGACATTGGATTGTGATTTCCTGGAGTCTTAATATTATTTTACCCAACTCAATGGACAGGGGGAGACTCAAAGTGATCCACTGAGATGGCTAGATTGGTGTCCAGTAGATGAAGTTCAGGTTTCGGGTTGTCCAACAGAAGAAATAGTACAGTCCGACCCGCAAGCCAGTTCTAATTCCTCGTCCACCGGATATCCCAATGTAAGTTCCACTGATATTATTCCTTCTAATAATATTGATCCTGTTGAGGAAATTGTGCCGGATACATATATGTTACCTCCCAGACATAACAGAGGTATTCCAAAAAGACAGTATGAACCTGATCTGAGATCCAAAGCCAAGTACCCAATGGCAAACTATGTCAGGGGGAGTATGACGGCATCGGCAAGAGCTTTTAGCATGGCGGTTTGTGATAGAATTCCTCAAAATCTCTCCGAGGCCCAGGAACGTGAGGAATGGCAGGAGGCCATGAAAACAGAAATGGGGGCACTAGAAAAGAATGAGACTTGGGAGAAGTGTCTACTTCCTACCGGGAAAAAAATGGTTGGCTGCCGGTGGGTCTACACTGTGAAACGTAGAGCAGATGGTTCCGTTGAACGGTATAAGGCGCGATTGGTGGCCAAGGGTTACACACAAACTTATGGAGTAGACTACTCAGAGACTTTCTCTCCCGTGGCCAAAATTGATACCATCCGAGTGCTTTTTTCAGTTGCAGCAAATCTTGATTGGCCACTACATCAGTTTGATGTCAAGAATGCCTTCTTGCACGGGCATTTGAAGGAGGAAGTATACATGGAACCACCTCCCGGTTTTTCACAAGGGTTCCGGAAAAATGAGGTGTGTAGATTAAAGAAGTCCTTGTATGGCCTGAAACAGTCCCCACGAGCATGGTTTGGTCGCTTCACAGCAGCGATGAAGAAGAATGGTTACCGCCAGAGTAACTCTGATCACACCTTGTTTCTAAAAAGACGAGGTGTGCTCATCACATGTCTGATTATTTATGTGGATGACATGGTTATTACAGGCAATGATACTGATGAAATGGCCCACCTACGACACCAGTTGTTCCAAGAGTTTGAGATGAAGGACTTAGGGCAACTCAAGTACTTCCTGGGGATCGAGGTTCTTCGCTCAAAGAAGGGCATATTTATCTCACAACGTAAGTATGTTCTGGATATGTTGACAGAGACTGGCCTACTGGAGTGTAAACCAGCAGAAACACCGATTGTTGTGAACCATGGGCTAGAGATGGTTAAAGGAGCTGAACCAGCAGACAAGCAACGCTATCAACACCTTGTAGGGAAATTGATCTATCTTTCACATACTCGACCCGATGTGGCATATGCTGTAGGGGTGGTTAGCCAGTTTATGCACTCTCTTCAGAAACACCACATGGAAGCTGCGTTGAGAATTGTGAGATACTTGAAAGGCACAGTGGGTAAAGGGGTCCTATTCCAGAAACACGGACATCTTGATATTATGGGATATACTGACGCTGATTGGGCAGGGAATCCTGTTGACAGGAGATCCACTTCTGGGTATTTTACGCTCGTGGGAGGCAACCTTGTAACATGGAAGAGCAAAAAGCAAGGAGTAGTAGCACTATCCAGTGCTGAAGCAGAGTTCAGAGGAATTGCTAGAGGATTGACAGAAATATTGTGGCTCAGAAAACTCATGGCAGAGATTGGGTTTCCAAGCCGGGGAGACTGTCAGTTGCTTTGTGATAACAAGGCTGCAATTAGTATTTCCGAAAATCTGGTTCAGCATGACAGGACAAAACATGTGGAAGTAGATCGCCATTTCATTAAAGAGAAGTTGGAGTCTGGCATCATCAGTTTGCCTTACGTAAAATCAAGTGACCAGCTGGCAGATGTTCTTACCAAAGCCGTGCCTAGCCAAGCCTTTCATGATGTATTGTGCAAGTTAAACATCGTGGATCCGATTGTTTAACTTGAGGGGGAGTGTTGATAACTCAAGATCCCTGAAAATCAGGGATAAACACTAGACAAATTAGGAGATAATTAATATTCTGTGTAATCCTTTCCTAAACTCATGCTTGTAAACTAGAATAAAAGGAACAATTGTACGGAGAAGTTATTCATATTACAATACACAGAAAATCTTCTATTTCCAAAT